CATTAATGCTTTTAATAAATTAGATAAGGCAAATGATATGACTTGGTGCAATATTCTAGAGTTTAGCTCGAATATACTCCAAAGCTAACATTTGTATTATTTTATTTTCTTCAAGCATCATATTAAATGTCAATGAGATATTTTGGTGAGATTAGATAGAGCATATGCCTAAGTACTGTGTCAAATTTAAATACCATCAAGATAGCCTGATGAACTCCAGTTTGAAATCAAATTTTGGAAAATGATTGTTTATTATTTAAAAATTAGCTGGAGATCAATAAGGCTGACTTGGGTGGTAAGTTTCAAGTTGACATGATTATTGCCTTGTTACCAAACTCATTCGACTCTGTTAGAGTGAACTAAATAAGGAATCAGTTTGAGTTCACACTCGCTGATATTCTTATAGAATTGGTAACAGAAGAAGGGATAATCAAGAGTATGGGCGTTCCTATCAATCTAACCTAGTCTATACCATCTTCTTCTAGGCCCAAGTGGATGGGCAAAGCAAAGAAGAAGGATGATAATAGGACTAGGCTAGCACAAAACAGAGGTATCTAAAAGGTTAAAGGGAATAAGGCAGTGTATGTGGAGGGCGAATGAAACTGTTTCTTTTGCCGTTAACTAAGACACTAAAGGACAAACTGTCTAAGCAATGACGTGGCATAGGAAAATATATATTTAATCATTGAGCCATGTTATGTGGTTGTATCTATTGATTCCTGATGGATAGATTCTGGAGCCACTGAACATGTTTGCAATTTATTGTAAGGATTTCAGGAATCCAGAAGCCTTGATGATATGGGTATATATTTATCTTTTGACCTGATGCCAAGGTTGTAACTAAGTCAGTGGGAGTATTACATCTGAAATTAGAGAGTATGAGGATATTAGTATTAGAGAACTATCTTTATGCACAGAAGTGAAACGCAATCTCATTCTTATTTCACTTTTGGCTTATAAAAACTAGATCGTTATTTTGTAAAACTGGTTTTATAAAATTGAATAGATATGTGATTGCTTCTGGTGTATTGAAAGATGGTTAATATACTATAATCACAAGCTCTTAAGATTTGCAGGATGTAGAAACTAATGTTGCATCTTCTAGATTGAATATTAAGAGAAAATTTGTTATTCCTGACTCATTGTATTTTTGGTGTCTATTTTTGGGTTGTAATCAATCAAAATGAGATTTAAAGATTGGTTAAAGAAGGTTTATTACCTAGTGAGGCAAAGGAGCCTAAACCAAACTTGTGAATCTTGTTTTGAAGGATAGATAACTCTAAGGGCTTAATCAGCCAAATGAAATAGACATAAAGAACAATTGGAGTCGGTACACACGTACACGTGTAGTCTTATGAACATCCAATCAAGATTACTCACGTTTTGGATAAATTTACCTGTTGCGACACAAGTCTTATACTTTTGGTATATTCTGAGAGGGTCAAGACTGATGTGGAGCTCAGATTAGGTAAACTTATCAAGACACTTTCGATCTGATCGAGTATTTGAGTATTTCTTGGGATAGTGCAAAGACTATATGGTCAATGAGGGTGTGGTGTACCAGTTTTCCGCAATTGACGCTAAATTAATTTAGGTGTCAAATAGGAATAACAGAATTCCACTTAACATGGTTAGATCTATGATCAGTAATGCCACATTATCTCTTTCATTTAAGAGTTTAGCGTTAATGACATCGATGCGCATTATGAACTGCATTCCATCTTAGTCTGTCTCAAGGATACCGTTGAGCTGTGTTTTTGACTAAATATTAGTTTGAATCATATGCACATATGGGGTAGTCTTGCACATGTGCGCTTGATATGGACAAGTAAGTTGGAAGCAGATCATAGGCATGCTAGATTTGATAGCTACTCTAAATGTCACTAGGATGGATTATTTTATGATCTCAAAGATAAAAGTTGATTGTTTTCACTCACTGTTTATCTATAAGAGAATCATATTATGAATCACATACCTAGTAGCATAATGTTAGAGAATTTGGTATGAGTACCAGGTGTACCACATGTGAACACACTTATTATAGAGATTGAGAATAATATATGAATTCCCTATTGATGCGTTAGCATCATCTACTACACAGATTCTTGCATCGGTACATTGATGTAGTGGGAGGATTATCATCCAATTCGACAGAATCATGTTTTTAGGTGAGACCATTATGGACATCCCTGTTAAACATGAGTTGGACCCAGTAAGCTACACGGAAGCGTGAACTGATGTGGATACAGATCGTTTTGGTGAGTTACTATGAAATCAGAGTTGGAATCTATGTATTCTAATAAATTCTGGGATCTTGTAGAACTTTCTAGTAGGGTGATTCCTATGGAAGGCAAGTTAATCTACAAAAAGATACCAGAAGATTTCTTAGTGAATAAATCATGAGTATACAAGGGAATGTTATTATTTTTCTTAATTCTATATATTGATGACATCCTACTCATTTATAATGACGTGGAAGTTTTGTCATCAATTATAAGGTAGTTGTTCAATTACTTTTAAATGAAGGATTTTCAAGATGTAAGCTATATTCCTAGGATCAAGCTTTTGCAAGATCAGGTTAAAAGGAAAATAGGCTTATCTTAATAATCCTACATTGATAAAGTTTTGACCAGGTTTGGTATGCATAACTCAAAGAATGAGTTCTTGCTTTATTGATATGGATCGCTCTCTCTAGTAAGTAGTTTTTCAAGGCTAGCAGAGGAGATTGAGCAAATGAGACTGGAACAATATGTTTCGGCATATGAGAGTCTCATATATGCCATGGTCTATACCAAACAGGACATCCGCTACATGGTAGGGATAGTCAGTAGAGATCAGTCCAATACTGGACTTGACAACTGGTCTATTGTGAAAAATATCATTAAGTACCTAAGGAGAATCAATGATATCATACCCATTTATGGATGTGATGATATGGTCCTAGTCAGGTATGCTAGTTCTGATTTTCAATCAGAAGTAGATACTATGAGGTTCATGACTTAGTGTATGTTCACTTAATGGAAGGGAAATCAGTTGGTAGATTGTCAAACAGATTTCAACTGTTGACTCAAACCTGCAGGTGGAACATATTGCAGCCTTAAAGGTGGCAATATAAGCCTATTGGTTTGATCTCACTGATTTAGAGGTTGTGGAGCATACTAGCCTGCCTATCGAGCTATATTGTGACAATAGTGCAGAAGTAGTCCAAACCAATGACACAAGGTTCCATAGAGGAACAAGATACACTGAGAGGAAGTATCATGTTCGACATGATATTGTCCGGCAAGAAAATGCACTTGTAGTTAAAACATTGCATTGGAACACAACTTTGTTGATCCATTATCAAAGGTGTGATTGATCAATAATTTTGATCATCATCTGGATAACATTGGAGTTAGGTGCAATTTGAATTGGCTATGAGGGCAAGTGGGAGCTGTTGGGATTTATATGCCCTGGCATAGCGAATTCCTATCTGGATTGTATTGACATATGTTCCTGACATATCTGAAATATTTATGATTTATATAATTGGTGAATTCAATGTATTATGTTTCAATTCACTATGAAATTGATAGTGTCCAGTTAATTACAAGAAATATTTATATATATGTATGTGATGACAATCAATGCATGATATATAAATAGTAATTATAAATTGTTCATAGTCGGTAATTATGGATGGACTCATAATTAATTAAGACTTGAACTGGATCCGCGTTAGGTTGAGATATATTGCGAGAGCCGTCGTATGCAATTACTCCCTATCACCGTCATGGCATTTGACTCTTAAGCATGAGAAAAGTATAGACTCTTTTATTAATTAATAATTACTTTGATTTGTTCGGCGGATTCTTCGGGATCCTTAGACCGACACTTTGGGTAGTTATGTAATTAATAGTTAGAGGGTTATATTTTCAATATTTGCATCATTGCTACTTGTATTTATTTTGTATTGATTATGGTTGATCACAAAGTAAATTCGAAGGCCTTCGTGTGTTTTTAGACAAAATGATTTATTATATATTTATTTATTTAAATTATTATTTTTGTCAAACAAATGTTTTATTGTGATCGAGCCAGAAATAATCAAAGGTACCAAAATAAATATATTAATTAAAGAGTCGGATTGATGGCTATATTTATCCGATAACTAATTATGCATAGAGGGGTCAAAGTGCAATATTGACTTAGAGGTTATTTATTATTTAATTGGAGTTCAATTAATTTCTTTTAGTGGAGTAGAAATTAATTTATGAATTAATTGAATTGGGTCCATGGACCGGGCCAATTATTAATTCATTGTAGCCAATAAAATAATAGGCCCAATGGATTCTCACTCATAGCCCAACTTGATATTGGAATCATATTAGATTTGAGACATATGAATTAGAGATGGAGAAGGATTTGTTGTTTCCTTTTCTTTATTTTTATGTTGCCTATAAATATACATGGTCTATGTATATTTTTTGGGGTGATTTTTATGAGAAGGAAAAAGGAATAAATTTTCTCTCTCTAGAAAATTAGGGTTTATGTTCTCATCTAATGGAGGCTCCCACAAGTCTAGTTTTCCAAGGTCATTCATGGAGGCATATGAGTGATTCCTAAAGGCAAAAGAATTACCAAGAAGATGGAGATCCATGGAAAAGGTGTCTAGCAAAAGGGATCTACAATAAGTGAGAACATTCACTTTAGAGGAGAGATCTAAGGTTTACTCAAACCTTGATGTAAGTATTCAATCTTTTAATTGAATGATACATCATGTTTTATTTTTGCATAAAACTTGTCTCTAAGTGATGAATCAAGATTTATGAATTTAAATCCCTCGAAAAGTTTTTAAAACTAGCACGTTTCCCAACACTGTGGACATCTTCCCATGGTGTCGTGGTTGAAGCTATATTTTGGTTTTCATATCTGGCTGGATGAATTTTGATTTTCTTCACAGTACCGTTTAATTATGCACTCAATTCTGTTTTCTTGAATACTTTTTTGGTCTGTTTCAGTCTTGCAAAAATATATGACCAGAAAACCAACCAAAGGTCCAAAGAGCATGCTGTTCAAGCAACCGTAAGAGAAAACCTTCATTCGGTACCGGGGTCGGCGGCGTGGTAGATTAACATCACCTGGGGTTGGAGAACCGAATTAGCCATGCCCATTACCCTCTTCAATGATTTTCAATTTTGATTCGAGTAATACCAGGATTCCTACAAGAGCGTTGACCTATTGATGGTTCCAACCTGTATAATGTAATGGCTAATGTTGGATCATTAGACGTTATTAATTTTTTGATTCAGTAAAGTTGGTTCATTCCATTATTATTATTTTTCAAATGCTAACCTGAAGCTGCAGGGAGAGTAAAATCTCATCTGCTTATGATATTCTCCTGTAGTCCTACTTCTTTCATGGACAAGAAACTCACTCTCCGTACCTACAAGCGGCTCTCATCTTTAAAAGTTGAGGAAGTATTCTTATGATACTCCATATTAAATTTGAGGAAGTATTCTTATGATACTCCATATTAAATTTGAAATAATGACCAAAATTTGAAGTGACATTTCGATTTCAGAGACAATTTCAAACTTGAGGATTTCAAGTCGGCCAACACCGGTTCTTGATACTTAGTACTTACGATTGGGGGGAAACTTAATGGTTCTTAATACTTAATACTTACTACTTAATACTTACGATTGAGGAAAGAGATGTCATACCACTAGGCTGAGCTGGTTTGAACTACTCATCTCTCCTTTAAGGGGAAGAGGTCATATTGCCGTGCTCAGTTGGGGCAAATTTGTATTGAAAATCTTTTATTTGATGTAAGCCTATGGATTTTGTAAAATCTTAACAATGTTCCCATTGAATTATGAAAAATCCCAATACATAAATCTTATGGATCCCCTCTCTCTCTCTCTCTCACACACACACATACAAGCACAGACGCATGCATGCATATCGTACAGTATAGTCAAACTTAGGTTTAAGAATTTTAGAAAATTTAATTGTCAAATCAAATCTTGTTTTGAATACGGAACTCGAGCTTGAAATTAAAATTGTTAAAACAAATTTGTTATAGCTTATAAGTATTGACGAAGTAATCCTGAATTTAACCTAAAATAGAAAAGATATTTTTTTTCTCAACTTTTTGGTCCGTAAATATTCTTGCCTTCGCTTTACAATAGTTTGCTTAAAAGTCGGGGTCTGCGGACGCTTCACGCGCTTTAAGATCGAATTGGACCATTTAAGAACGCCTTTAACGACACCGTTTCATAAAAAGGCATCTCGTTTGGTCGTCCCACCGTTTTTCATCAATCGTCGTCGCAAAAACAATAGAACAAAAACCCCTGAAAATTCCTATACTGCTCAGAGAAATCTCCTCTTCAGAATAAACGAAGAATAAAAACAGCACCACAGCACAGGAGAACCCTAATTTTCTCTCAGGTCGCCCATTGATGGCGGCGACCAAGTCCAAAGCTTCGACTCGGAGGAGTTCAGAGAGCACAAACACGAGGGTTTTGCTCTATTCGATGTTGCTCGCGGTTCAATACGGAGCTCAGCCACTGATATCTAAACGCTTCGTCAGGTAAGTTCTATGTCTCTTGTATTTTATATCGACAATACCGTTACAATCTTCTTAATTGCATATGGAAAGTCTTAAATGATCATTTGATCTTCGTTTTAATTGGTATGAATCGAGTCGTAATTTAGGAAAAATGCTGAATGAGTTGTGACATTATGGTTAGTTAAAGTAAAACTGCGTTATAGGTTGTTTATTGACTTAATCGGACCCTAATATGACTAGCGATTCAAAATAATGTCTAGATCGTGTTTATGACTAGAATGATGGAAGCTATTTGTAAAATGTTTGTGGATTCAAGAGCCTCAGAAGTGAATCCAGGGGACAAGAAGTGCCATCTGTTTGACTGTTTTCTATGACATACTACTTCTTGATAAATTGTTGTTGTTGTTAGCTAATTCAGTTGTTCATTTCTGTTGATAAACAAGTTATGCTCAAATGCTGATCAAAATTAGAAAGAATGGAGTCCTAAATGCAAAGAGTTAAGTTTTGCTTAACCATCTGACATTAAATGTTAATGTGTTTTTTTTTTTTTTTTTTTTTTTTTTTAAATCTTGGTTTTAGGAATTTGAGAATTTTAGTGACTGCTGCTTGATACATGCACTCGATAATTCATATTGGGCCATTCAAGAATGTGTGTAGGGTGAGAATGTGTATAAATATTAATTTTATTGAATCTCCAAACTCTGGGTCATGCACAACTAAATATGTTATTTATCAATATTTCTCTCACATATGGGGTAAAATGGTGTTTTATGTAATGTTCAACAAGAGCATTTCACCTTTTGAAGTAATAATATAATAGAAAGATTATAATAAGAGATTTTTATGAACAATTCGATAGCACATTTGAATAGTCAAATATACTTTCTAGGAGTATGTTAGACTAGACATGATGAGTACGTTATATGTCTCTTATCCATGTCTCGGTGATCTTTATCAGAAACAAGTAATTAATTCATTTAGAAGAGCTAGTTTAAGATAAATCAGGTGTGGGATGTGTCTATGACTCTACGCATTTAATTGATTAAATTTTGAAAATCGAGGATGCGAGGACACGACCAAAGATGTTGTACATATATTCCACATCCATATTCACGTGTCCTGTGTTTGAAACAGATACATCTCGAGATAATTCATAATCAAGGGTTTTTTTTTTCAATATCATTAAAATATAGTTCAAGCTAGTTAGTACTGAAGAAGGGAAAGAGGCTTGATAATGCGGAAGATGGATAGAGAGAGGAAGATTTAGAGCTTCAAAATCTGTGATGTTCAAGGATAGTTGGACTGTGCTATCACAGGTTGGTCCAAGAATGTGACCGTCGTAATAAATGTATAATTGTGATGAAGCCATTGGTGGCGTTAAAGTTATGGGATACAGGTCATGTAACTTGGGTTGCATAATAAGATGTTTGTTGAGTTTTAATAGGTTGTTGAGAGCTTGTTTTTTACTAGTATATTTTCTAATATCAAGTTGGCATTGCATTTTTAACGTTGCCAAATTACTAATATATGTTGCCCCAAATGATTGCGTGTTTGTTTTATGAGTCCATCTTATGTTTCTTTGGTTCACATCTTTACAAGATTACTTGAGGACTATTTCAAGAAACTAGTTAGTTTGTGAACTTGGATAATGGCAACTGAACTGGAAGTGGCATGGCCGTCGTCATGACAAACCCTATGTAGAAAAATTGTTCATTTGCTAGTTTAGTTGTGGGCTTTTGTTGCAGGCAGCATCCATTTTATAAATACTTCCGTCATTGTATCTCTGAATAGTCTTCTAAATCAGTAGTAGGAATTATTTTTTGCAACACAACTGTGTTAAACTACTCTTATTTGTGGCGAACATATCCACCTCTACCATGTTCTTGTATTTTATATATATTTAAAGTCTACTCTGCTGGACACTTGCACATATGATGCAACATTTGTATATTTCACCCCAAATGCATCGTTAAGAACAAAATTCATATTAGTAGAATGACTGAGTTAATTATTTTTCTTTCCTATTTTTTCAGAGAATTGCTTACATCATATTACATGCATACAATAATTAGCTTTAAAGTAGCTCCTGCTTTTTCATTCTCACTGAGAAGTGAAAAGACTACTTCCCGTTCCCTTTCCCCTCCCAAAGAAAAACCTTGGCTGAGTAAGTCTCTCAGCAATTTCACAAGGAAATGGTTTCTGTTACCTTATAGGCTTATCCAGTAAGAAACTTAGAAGGAAATATTTACTGAGATATGACCCCCTTTTTCTTTTTTCTTTTTCTTTTTTTGCTAGTTCTTGACTAATTTTGGCAGTATCATTCTTCCTACAGGCAAGAAGTTATTGTGACTACATCTGTTTTGGCATGTGAAATAGTCAAGGTACTTGTATATTTCACAGATTTCAACTTCCCATTTTTTTTTTTTTTCCTGCTAAATACTGATTTCTACTTTCCTCTGTCCATTTCTGATTAACTTATATTCAAGTGTATATGCTTAACAGGTAATTTGTGCTCTTGTACTCATTGCAAGAGATGGTAGTTTGAAGAGGCTATACAAGGAATGGACTTTGGCTGGTTCGTTGACTGCGTCAGGATTGCCAGCAGCAATATATGCACTGCAAAATAGTTTGTTGCAGATTTCCTACAAAAATCTTGATTCGCTCACATTCTCAATACTGAACCAGACAAAACTAATTTTCACTGCTCTGTTTACATATATAATAATGAGGTATGGTCTTATAGAAGTGCAAATTTTATTGAAGTGAGTTTAGTCTGTTGACCGAAAATATTGCTGCATCAATAAATAGTTCTTTTATTGTTGATTTCAATGCACTTAGTTCATATCTCATCATTAAAAGCTTGTGTGACAACTTGTGGTAGTGAAAATAAATTTTACATCTATTAGTTGGTGTAAGAAAAAATATATCAAACTTCATAGAGCACCTTCAAAATTATGATTTCCAGATGAGAAAAAGGTTCCTGCTATGGTCAATTGTGTTATCCATCTGCCAAAATGTTCCTGCTAATCAGTTTGATTCTTAGTGTGTAATTGTCAAATTTCTATATTATGGCTGTGTGAAATGCAGAAAGATATTTTAGCCTCTAAGCGTGAAGTAACTTTTCTTTATACTAGAAAAATTTTCCCCTGTTGACGGGGAAAAATATACAGCAAAGATCTCCGGATAACTTGCCATCTTTCATTGGAGAAGGAAATATCAATGTTTCAGTAGCATGCCTATTCATTTGTTGAAGTATAATGATCTTTTCAAAACATTTTTGTTTCTTACCATCTGATGATTTTAACGAGGCCACGTCTATCTCTTAGATAAAACTTGCTGGACTTTCATTTTTGATCATCAATTGAAGAAAGTTGAAAGGACTTGATGTGCAATTTTTAGCTGAAACATTATGATTATCATTTGTCTGTAGATTTAACCAACCAATACTTTGAGAATCTACATTGTAATGTTTCTGAGAGCCTTTTGTTTTGTTTTTAATTTTTTTTTATTATGAATTAATGTAGGCAGAAGCAATCAATTCAACAAATTGGGGCCCTTTTCTTGTTGATAATTGCAGCTGTTCTTCTAAGCGTTGGTGAAGGCTCTAGCAAAGGTTCTTCTAATAGTAATCCCGACCTAGTTTTATTCTATGGAATTGTTCCTGTCCTTGTGGCTTCTGTACTATCAGGTCTAGCTTCTGCACTTTGCCAATGGGCTTCTCAGGTTAGCAAAAATTATCCATAGTTTTTTTTTTTTTTTTTTCTTTTTCCATTTTAAATGAGTAAAAAATTGTTCACAACTTGGATTGGAATTAGAGCTAAAAATTCTTGCTGTTTGTTTTTTCCTTGCAATTTTTGTTTCTTTGTATTACAGGTCAAGAAACACACATCATACTTGATGACTGTAGAAATGTCTATAGTTGGAAGCCTGTGTTTGCTGGCCAGTACCTACAAGTCTCCTGATGGAGAAGCTATCCGGCGTCATGGATTTTTTTATGGCTGGACTCCACTAACACTGGTAATGATCTTTATCAATATACGTTGTTAAAAACTCCTCATCAGGTTAACTTATACTTGTGTTGGGATGGGAACCACCATAGGCATTAAGTAGATGTATCTTCGAATACTTGGGTGCTGACAATGGAAAAATTATGGTTTAACAGACAGATCATGGAATTATCTTCTATCTGTGTCGTATATGTTGGGTCTGAAGCAGAAATTTTGGATGGTCAAGCACGTCTAATTAGGTCCACTATAAAGCTAGATTGTTCTTTGGTGCTGTTGGGCTTTAATTTGGATATGTGTATGCTTCTGAGTGTTTTAGCTACCATCTTTGAGTACTTTGAGACAAATTCTACTGTTTAGCTTCCATCTCTAACAATGGCAGATGCTTATGTTACTCTGTAGTTCCATGGTCTTTTCTGATTTGGAGGCTTGAGGTCGGGATAAGTTCGAATGAGTTAAAACAGATCCTTTAATATGTTACTCAGATAATTTTCTGTCTCCACTCTTTTTGGGGCAGAATGAAAAGTTTATTAGCGTGTCTATTAAATTGATGGTTTTCCTATGTGATTTTTGCATTTGCTACTAAGTTGTTATGTGCTTCAAACACGTCTTGTTTTATTTTGTTCAGATTCCAATTATATCCAATGCTGTTGGTGGAATACTTGTTGGCCTGGTGACATCTTATGCTGGTGGTGTCCGAAAGGTGAGTATGACCCTGTATACTTAGATGATTATCTAGGATGCATCATGGATTGTTATCATCAAGAGTGGAGATCAGATGTGCTAAAACTCACCATTATTTTCTACTGTAATTCTGACAGATTCATTAACTGAAGATAGGAAACTGAAATTCAAATAAATTGAAGCATTGTTAGGTTAGCTTTTAGAAGCATTTTGCTCTTGATGGCTCAAAATGCCTGGATTATGAATCTAGAATACAAGGATAAACACTTCTTAGATCCTAATCAAGCTATGGCTAATTTTTCTTGGTATTGATAAGCTGTTTGTGATCCAAAGCTTGAAGCCATCTGATTAGCACTTTTAAGAAGCCAAACTGCTTCGATGTGCTGTTTTGAAGGCACATATAGCTGCGGGGACTTGTTAATTCTTTCAAATGTTTCCTTAAGGATCTCATGGCCAGTCAATAATTTAAGTTTGATAATTTGATGAAAAATAATAAAATTTTCATGATTGAAAAATAGACATACGAAATTAAGTAAATGTCTTGTTGGTGGTGGCATAACAGTACTTGTGTAAAGTATTGTCCATTATTTTAATCTTCATTTTTAAATACATGCAGGGCTTTGTTATTGTTTCTGCACTTCTTGTAACAGCCTTGCTGCAGTTTGTCTTTGATGGGATACCACCTTCATTTTACTGCCTTTTGGCCCTTCCACTCGTGATTAGTAGTATTTCAACATACCAGAAATACCCTTACCGCATTAAGAAGAAGGAATCCTAGACTACAAGTGTCATGACAATACGAGAGGTAATACATTGGCCCCAATTGATTTGGGTGGCATTTAGCCTTGCACTGACCTATAGGCTATTGTAGGGGTTTATATTCCAGAAATTTTTTGTAAGTGTACACACATGTACTAGCTTAGGAAACTGAGAAGGGAAATCTTAGCCTTCTTTCATCCAATTGACTGGCATTTGTATTGTATGCACATTGGCGTGGCTTCTGGCCTATTCAGTATAGCAGAAACATGTATGATGAACTGGGAGAAACTTCAATTGTGTCCGCTTGAGGTATGAAGCTCTGTTTGAATCACTCAAATGCTTTGCCCTTGCTTGCTTATCAAAAAAAAAAAACAAAAAAAAAAAATTTGCTTGGCCTTGCAAAAATAAAGCAATAGTAGTTCGTACTCGTGAGATCATCTATAATATAATTATTGAATGTATTGGTTCTCTGATATGGCAGTCTATGCAGAAACCGAAGTGGAATTATATCGGTTTTCTTTTTATTCATTTTTCTAACAATCTTAGAAGCTTTAATTAAGGAGACTGCAAGAGCCACTGAATGCTCCATCACCACGCCTAAAACTGGGCCGTACCTAGGTCTACCGATATTGTTTTTCAGGGTGTATGGTGAATTTGCCATTGCAATGCTTCTAAGCAAATGGTTACAGTTTACTTTCATTGTGATTTTATAATTGGGAAAAGAAAAACTGCATTTGTGATTGTCTTGATGTTCGAGAATCTTTTAGATGGTCCTGATTGATAGACATTTGGTGGAGCAATTAAATTCAAACCCTCAGATTGAGAAAATAGTCCCACAAGAATATTAATATATTACAAAGAAATTTCAACATTATTTTTTATCCGATTAGGCAAATGATTGATGTTTGAATCTTCACTCCATTATAATTATTGGTTAGGAAAGAACTAACTGCATTCAACATTGTTGAGCGCCAGAGCCTATTAATGGTTAGCGTTGGACATTGGTAGTAAAATTATGAGCTTGTTCTACACCCACCCTACTCGTTGGACATTGGTAGTAAAATTATGAGCTTGTTCTACACCCACCCTACTCATTTACTTATCTTGGAAAAAGAAGAGTGAAATTGTTGAACCTGTGATAACTCATTGATTTTTCTGTAGCTAAAATATTAGAGAATTTAGTTCCAAAATAATAATAATAAGGCAAGCAGATAAAATAATAATAATAAGAGACTTGAGGTGCACAAAATTGTTAATGGTGGTTTGATCAATCAAGAAAAAAAAAAAAAAAAAAAAAAAAAAAAAAAAAAAAAAAAAAAAAAAAAATCTGTGATTGATTGTTGTATCAACAAACAAAAATAATGTGTTACTAATCGAGGTCATTAACCTAAACAGGCCTGGCCTTGCAGCCCACCATCTAAGGCCCAGCTGAATATTACCCTTTCTCTGCAATACTCACCAGTTACAGGGTTTTCGTAGAGCTCTCTCACAACTACTCACAAGTCATAGCATTTCCAGTGATCGCGCAAGGAACAGAGCAACAATGGGAAGTAGATTGGGAGGAAGAGTTATTCACTTTGCTAACCTACCCATCAAGCTTCTCATGCCTTCCTCTTTCGAAAACATCAGAGAAATTGCCCTCAAAACCATTCCCTCAGCTTCAAAGGTAAGAAGCAAAATTAAAATTCCCCATCCCCCTTCCCCTCTCTCTCTCTCTACAACTTTCTCCCTCTAAACGACCCTCTTCTCTGGTTTATTTTTTGATTGAAGATTGAGATCAAGAGGGTTCTGGAGTCTCTCTATGGCTTCGAAGTTGAAAAGGTCCGAACCCTAAACATGGATGGCAAGAAGAAGAAGAGAGGGGGCGTATTGTTTGCGAGACCGGATTACAAGAAGGCTTATATTACGCTGAAGAACCCATTGTCGATTTCACAGGACTTGTATCCGATTCGTGTAATTGAGGACGAGAAGAGGGCGAAGAATAAGCAGTCGAAGTCAAGCTTCGTCGAGGAAGGTGAAGTCAAGTCGCATTGGCTCGATGGCAGCGGCAACACTTTCAGGCCGGATAAGGGTTACGTGACTAGACGTGGATGTGGAAGCCGCGGTGGCGATGGTGGTGCTGGGAAGTTCCCGTCGAGCAGTATGCGTTCTTCTTCTTCCAGGTAGTTTCGCTTTGCAATCTCAGAACTGGTCTTCTTTTTTTTTGTTTTGGTGTTTAAATTGGTATCTGATCTGAATGTTTAGTGGATGCTTGATGGTTGATTGATAATGGTTTTGGTACTTTCTAAAACACTTTTAAATCCTGTGTCATTAGACCACCTGTTGCACCCATCTAACTTCATTGTTTCCTAATCATTTTTGAATCTCACCAGTCAGATTAATTTGTTGACAATCTCCACTCTTAACTACAAATGATTTGAGCGATATGCCCCCAAGTTTTTTTTTTTCTTTTTCTTTTTTTCTCTTTTCTATTTCTTTTTTCCGTTTTATTCAAGCATGTAAATGCCAGGATTAGAAGTTTTGGGATTTATTCTCATAGAATAATTAAATAACTATAGCGTCAGTATCTTTATATGGTAATGTATGATTGGTACTATAAGGCTCCGTTTGCTTATGAAAAAAAAAAAAAAAAAAGTTATTTTTTCTGTCATGCATTTGGTTAGCATGAAAATTTATTCAAGAAAATGGTAGGAAAATACTAGTTTGTTATTTTGGATAGCAAGAAAGTGATTAAACATGCCAAAATTACCCTTAGGATTTCAAATACCAAAAAATAAATGAATTTGTATTTGATGATGTTCATTTTTAGCAAAGAAATAGTAAAATGATAGATTATTAAATTTAATAATATAATTGTTTATATTTTATTTATATTTAAAATAAGAACTTGCCTCTTTGAAAAAAATATATAAATAAAGAATTTGGCACAATTAAGTTAATGGGTAAAATAGGAATGTCAAATAAAGAGATACTCCTTTTAGGCGAAAATAGTATTTTCCTGCGTTTTGAGCAGGAAAAGTTTTGGAAGAAAATAGGCAAGTTTGGGAAACAAAAATTTTCCATTAAGTTTCTTTTTTCATCTATTCAAACTCCAAAAAAAACTAAAAAAAATTTCTTTCCTTTCTTTTCTAGTTGATTCCATCTAACCAAACGAAGCCTAAAAAAAAAAAAAAATTACTTTTGACTTTGCCTCATCATCTACCATTAGTGACAGCAAACTCCTGCTTATTTTGACCAAAAGACAAAAGTTTCTTTGGATTTTGTCATTATATCTTATTGTGGCATAATTTACAGCAGTTTCAGACACTAGGTTGCCTGGTTTTGGCCCAATTATGTCTTCTCATGATTGCTATTTAATTAGCTGCCTAGTTGATCGATGAACGTCTACTTATGGTGTGCCTTAGACTTTGCCTGGTAGCAGTTCACAATTCAATACTTGTGACTTAAGAAAGTATACTGAAAATTGATTATTGAAATGGTTTGCACCTTGTATTACAAGATATTTTGTTTTGTGCCTTGTATTCAGGCCGGAGAAGAGTTCTGATGGGGGCCGTGGAGGTGGACGCCGTGGTGGCGATAGTGGCGTTGGGGGCGTGACGTTCCCATGGAGCAGCATGCGCTCTACTTCTTCTAGGTAGTTTCACTTTGCAATTTGAGAATTGGTTGTCTTTTTGGTTTTGTTGGTTAAATTGGTGTCTGATTGTTTAGTGGATGCTTGATGGTTGATTGATAATGTTGCGAATACTTTCCAGAACACTTGGAAGAGCTTTCATGACATTCAATTTCAAATCCTCTCATTAGACCATCTGTTGCGCTCATAACTAAAGTTGTAACTTGATTGTTGCCTAATCATTGTTGAACCTCACACTTCAGGTTAATTTGTTGACAATCTCGACTCTTAACTACCCGAATGCATATATATAAATGATTTGAGTGATATGTCCCAATCTTGTTTTTCCCTATTTACTTCAAGCACGTAAAGCCAGGATAAGAAGTGTTGGGATTTATTCTCATAAAGTAATTAATTAACTATAGAAAGGTTAAAAGCTTTCACCTATGCTAATGTTTAATAAATTTTGTGGTGTGGGGGTTGGGTGGGGTGTAGGGAAGGGTGTTCGGTAATGTCACTCCAGGTGCTAAGTTTTAAAGTATGTTTGAAGCTAATATAGGTAAAGAGCAATACAGATTGCTTTTGCTATTCTCTGAGACAGGAAACTAGGTATTACTAGGTACAATATTTGCCTCTCAGAACTGGGAATGACTAGTTTGCATGTCACTGCTATCAGATGATATGTGCCAGCATCTTTATATTATAATGTACTATTGGTACTATAGAAAAGAAGTTTTGCTTTCTGACTTTTCCTAAGCATCTTATATTATGTGACATCATTTACAGCAGTTTCAGTCCACTAGGCCGGCTGGTTTTGGCCTAGGTATTTCTTCTTCTGATTGCTAACTTAACTAGCTACCTAGTTGATTGATGAACGTATGTGGTCAATAAGTAGGATCTTTATACTATACTGAGAAAGCTGCTGAAATTTTTTGCTCGTAGTTATTAAAAGACCCTTTTTCTTAAATCTTAAGTATGTTTACATTCTTATATAAATTTAAGGACTTCAATTTATAGAAGGCCCTACAAGCACACCGGTGTGGCTCATGTCTCAAGTACTCAATTCATTTTGCAATTTGAAGAATGAAAGGCCAATGTAAGCTTTTGTACAGCACAGGATGATGATGCAATAGATGAAATCTAAGTCTAGGTTCATTTGCGGTTTTTACCTGGATGATGGTTCTTAAAGGCACTCAATCATTTTGTGCAGCATGCATTCATGCATCAAGTGACAGCTTCTTGCAGTCCATTACTTTTCACAGCCTTACTTGGTCGTGCTCTTGGGAGCAAACTATTACAAACATTGGGTGGAGGTATAGTGACAATTCAGGTTTAAAATTGGGAGATACGGAGAGAAGTGACAGGTCCAATTCCAATTCATGTACTGTATATGTGAAGTCAACCATGTGATTATTGTGTGGCTTAAAATTATTGTGTGGCTTAAAAGAAGAAGGTAGACTACAGATATTCAGTCTAGTTGCATGTCATCTTATGTGTGCATTTTTATCCATTGGCAATAGGGTTCTATTTAAATGTGAAATCTGATGCATTTCTAGTCATTCCTTCTTGCTGAAAATGACCAGGCTATACAGTTGTTTTAGGACAAGGCGCGTACTGTGAATCTTACTGCTGATATTGTATACATTTTTCCGTTTCTTGTACACGAAAATCTTACAGGGGGTGCCCCTCAAGTCTACTTCCATATGATAATTGGTCATTCCTTAGGATCTGGACCAATGGAAAAATGCATTGAAATGGATGGTCATCTCAAGGAATATTGTGATTTCTTATCCAGGGTTAAGGGTTCACCTCCCATAAGGAGTCATCCTTTCTTATTAAGTTAATGGTGTGATTTCCCCAAATATTGTGGCACTAAAATGAGCAGGAAACAGATATTATTTGGAGATTTGGTGTTGGTCATGTAACCATCTCTCTTTCAGGTACAAACATGGATGAGGCACCAAGCCTGTGAAGACCACCAGAGTGTGTGTATTGTTGTGCATATATGCACATGTAGTTTCACTGCAATTTTATGCACAATTTTGTTTTTCCTGGTCAAACCCAGGTATGGTCACATGCTGAAAAAGTTCAGTGCCTGCAGATTACCATAGACATTAGCCGGAAATAAAAATTAATAATTCCAACTAATTTCCAGGTTAAAAATCATGTTTTTACTGGGCGAGATTTCGAAGTTCAGTTATGCCACTCTCATGAGTTGGTATTAGAGTGGAGGTCTAGGCATATTATAGATAGCTCGTCAATAATGGCTCGACTTCTCCATGTATTTTTCTTAAAATAGGTGATCTGAAAGATGAAGAGAGAACCAAAAACTATGTACTTCTTTCATGTCTGATCAGAAATTTTGATTTTTAATATTCAATATATCACGTAAAAGACTTCCAAAATCATAACGTAAAATGACCGAATCAACATAGGCAAGTGTGGGTTGAATTAGCGAAATCAACCTTCTACTCAGGTTAGCTATGGACGTTGGATACCAGTGTTTCAGTTGCTACCATATTAATGTCACATAAGCTGCAGCGACCATTGCATAAGACGCATGAGAGTGGGGATTTAGGGATATTATTATGCACGGTTCTTCAAGGATGACACTATTCTGGCATTGTACTTCTCCCTGTAATTTTTTTTTTTTTTTTTGGACAGAGTGACTCGAAGAGATCCAAGGAGGAAATTTTTTTTTTTCATATCAAATCGGAATTTTTGATTTTTAATATTCAATATTTAAAGCACATCAAAATTCTTAAATTAAAATGACCAATTCAACATGGGTAGATTTGAGTTGAAATGATGAAATCAGAACTCATCACTTGAAATGTCAAAATAAATCTTCTCAAATGAGGTTTAGCCACGAACTCACACTCTGAGTAGTTGAAAAACATTTAACAAGTTACGATTGTCGTTGCTGTTATGTGCACAGCAGGTGTGATCTATCATGAGTCCCAACAACCATTACAATTTAAAATTTGTGCTTCTCTGACTTATATTACCATTGTGTTTAGTAGTATTAAATTGGCACTTTAAATTTGGAATGGAATGAAAAGAAATTTCATTCAAATTTTATACTAATTTTTTTTTCAATTTCAAATCTAAATATCATTTTTACTCTATTTGTTCTTATCCAACCTCAATAGTTGAATAAAGAGTCTGATGTAAGGCAATTATTCAATAGATGATAGAGACCAAATTTGTTTCATCATCATATTTCAAAATAAAATTAACGGAAGTAAGAGTGAATTCAAAAGCGTGCAAAAATAACAAAATTGAAGTCAAAATAGAGTAAAACTGAGAATTAAAACAAGTGCAAAACGTAAAAACAAGAACAAGTGCAAAGCATGCACTAGAATGCAAAGCATAAGAACAAAACTTGCCAAGCATTGTGTAACTCAACTCTTAAAATAAAAAATAAATGAATACTGTAAGCCAACCAAGGACATGAACGTCATTCTAATTAAACATAGTGGCACAATTGGTCCACATCCGGGCATCGTCGTTGAATTGGCGGTTTCCTCCCATACGTATAAATTTGATTGAAATCAAAGTGGCGTTCTTTGCATTTTCTCTCTCTCTCTTCCGAAACTCTCTCCCCACATTTGAGAAACACAGATTCAGATCCGTTCGTCCCAACGCAGAGAGATCAAGAACTCTGTATATCCGATGGCGGTTGTGTCTCCTCTGGCCAAGTACAAGCTGGTCTTTTTGGGCGATCAATCCGTAGGCAAAACCAGCATCATCACTCGTTTCATGTACGACAAATTCGATACCATCTATCAGGTAATTCCATCTTATTTCCTCATTTTCTGTCCAATTTGAGAGAACTGGATGTAATTTCCGTCGCACTTGTGCCTAGATCTGGTTTTCTTTTCAATTTGATTGGATTTTCAGATTTATGTTGACGAATTAGGGTTTATATGTAATTTGATTGATGTTCCCAAGAAATTCGCGTTGACTAATGTGTTCTTGTATGTGTAAGTTCAGTTATGTATATGCGTAGTGCTTGCATGTCTTGTACATAAGATGCTTGATTTTCGAGATGATGGTTTGTATATACTTTCTATTCAGTTAGAGGACTAAGAGGAGTGCAAATAAATTTGTTTTTAAGGATTTTGTTCTGTTGCAAATCCTGGCTTCTGTAGATCTAATTTTTTGGCGTGTTATATAGATTGTTTATAATGCTTGTGCTGTCCTTAAATTGTGATTTTGATCATTTGGACATCGTATAATGACTTAGTTGAATTTCAATTTATTTTTCTGCAATAATGTGAGCCAGATACAACAGAACTATTATTTTACTTCTTTTCTGCTTAGCTTGTGTCTCATCACAGTAATTCAAATTATAATTATAGAATTAAACAGAGAGATATTCAGGTGGTGGCTTGGTTATTTGAAGAACAAAGGAGAAGGGTGTGAGGAATATAGTTATAAGTATCATTTTACATTTAAAGGGGAGAGAGAAGAAGCATTTTTGGAGGTGGATGGAAATTTCTAGAGTAGCTGAAAGTTAGAGAGGTGATGTCGGCAACTGTGATTGGTGTTGGACAGGATGGAACTTCTCACTTATCCCACTCTTTTCCACCGCTTCATCCTCAATTTATGGATAGAATAGAACTTTTGTCTTTAGACACTCCTTATGCAATGGGGGAGGGATGAAGTAGACCATATTGTAGTTGGTGATGATTGGTGTTCCAGGCTGGTAGGTTTTTGATTGAAGCTTTTCCCCATTGGTTACAAAGAATAAAGATGGGATATAAAACAAAAACAAAAAAAATTATGTTGTGCAGCAAGATTTACAAGGGTGTTTTTGGTGGAATTTTTATGTTCACAAATGTTATTTTTGTTAGGGACTAATGTGGTATATCCTGCGTTTTGGTGCAAAGAACAATGTTTAAAAAGAAAATCCAGAAATTTGTAAATCCCATCTGTCAATTCATGTAATAAGATCAAATTCTATTGCCATATGAGATGAGAAGAAAAAGAATAAAGAACTATTATTTTATTTGTTTCAAGTCTTTGACATACTTGTTCCTTGGATCTATGAAGTTTGCAGGATCTTAAAAGGCTTGCTAAATGTTGGTTCCTCTTAACCAATGGTTGTCAGTCCGAGCTATTCTCATGAGGCATGGACTGAGTACAAATTGAACCTTTTACATTATTTACCTAAAGCAGCTATTATAAGACTCAAAACTAGCATTCTCATGCTTGGCAGTCCAAACTATTACTACGTCAGGATCTTGACATAGAAACAACTTTGGATTTACCTTGATGAGATCATGTGCATAGTTTTTAAATCACTCCAGCTTGAGGTGTTAGGCACTGTTTTGCATAAACGTATATGTCTAATGTGTACCATAATTGTGGGAACACACACTGCCTGTTGCAGTGCCGTTATCTTTCATGTTACCCATTCCATGATACGGTAAAACAAAAAAAAAATTTATTTATTCAACTTAAATTTTCAAATTAGTTTTGAATTTCTATTTTTTTTTTTTTTTTTTTTTTTTTTTGCAATTTGAATTGCAGGCCACCATTGGCATTGATTTCCTGTCAAAAACAATGTACCTTGAAGATCGAACAGTTCGTTTGCAGCTTTGGTATGATGTCTTTCTTTCCTTCTATTAGATAGATGGATTTTCCACCTATGTACTTCCTCATTTGATCTCACTACTCTCTGTCACACTCATTTTGAACTGAAATTTTTATGGGAGAATAATGGAGGTTTTCATGAAAAATGTGGAGGGAATGTCTTATAAAATTTAGTAAAGCGGTAATTGCAAGGTTTAACAATAAAACTGGTCATTTGTCATTGCTTTATTACGAATCAATGAATATCCTACTGTAAGGATAAAATTAATTCATTGATATAAACGACGAAGCAGTTATGTTTTTTTTATTTTGTTTCTGTACAAAGCTTGTTAATGCTTCAAAAAGGTTGCAATGAACATGGGTGTGTGGAGATTGATAATTACAATGAAGAATTTACTCATCAATTTTATGTGGTTTTTCTGAAGTATATATTATTTTTTTTCATGTAAGACTTTTCTTACCTTTAACATGCTAATTGGATAGGGATACAGCCGGGCAAGAAAGATTTAGGAGTCTGATTCCAAGCTATATTAGAGATTCTTCTGTTGCTGTGATCATCTATGATGTTGCCAGTGAGTAGTAGTCTAACTGGATGGAGTGTTTTTTCCCAAATTCTTCAATGTACATTTTACGACTTCTCATACCAATATGAATACGTTATGCATGAAATAAGGGAAGGAAAAATGAAATCTTTTTCTCCATGGTTTTGTTTTTGTTTATTAAAGCTGATTCTTGAAAGAGAAATGGACAAGAATTTTGCAGAAAACTTTTAGGTCTGCAGATTCTTCTCTTAAGTACACAGTGAAGATGCAAGAGTTTCCTTCTTTTCTTTCTCTCTCTAGAATTCTTACACCTCAAACCAAAAAGATCCCTCTCCTTTCCATTCAATATCCTATTTATAGATATTTACAAGATATTTACTAGATATTTACAAGATATTTACTGATTGCTGGATCTGGGCCTATTCCTCCATAAGCCCTGGTCACCTTTGATGGGCTTACTCCCGTTCGGCCCATATGGCAGTGTCTTTATATGGGCTGACCCAGCTGTACGAACTGAATGTTGTGTTTGCGAGTCGGATCTGGCCCATGTCGTCCGGGGCCTCCTCAACTGCCCCCATAATTGTCCCCTATTTAATAAGGGGTAATTATTGATGGCGTCTCATCATGATGTTGACGGCTCGAGATAACCACATGGGGGAGCGGACGGTCAGATCCAGAATCAATGTTCCGGGGCTCGAGGAATTTCTCGCCTTCCCGACGCTTCGGCCCTCGGGCCCCTCGCCTTTATAATGCTCTAGAATTCCACTTCACTTCCCTTTACCGTCTCCATCATCAGCCAAGTCTCTCTCTTTCTAGAACAGTGCTAAGCTTTTTCTGGTGAAATCCTTCAAGAGTCATTCTTCCAGCGATCTTGCAGTCCTCCGAGGTTAGTTTCGTTCTTTTTACTTTCGGCAGGCTTCCATTTTCCCCCTTTTAGATTCTTCTAGCGCTTCCACCATGGTTGTAGATCTGGATGTTCTTCGTATGAGACTTAGACTTCCTGACAACATCGAAGTTAGGGTTTGCCCCCAGGATGTTAACATTACGACCGGCGCCGGCCTCCTGCCCGGCGAAGTCTTATTCACGAACCTTCAATTGAATGTTGTTAGGTTCCCTCTGCACCCTTTCTTTAGTTATGTCTTCAATAGATTGGGGATATCCCCTCTGCAGGTCAACCCCAACTTCTTTAGAATCATATCTGTTATGCTCTTGTTGATGCGTGACAGAAATCTGGACCTCGACCTCATAGACCTCCTTCTGTGCTATAAGGTCAGTAAGATCCGTACTAACGAACCCTTCTACCACCTCTACCCGTTCGAGAAGATGTCCATATGTACTGACACAATAAAATCTGAGAAGGGTTGGAGGGATAGCATAGTGGGCATTAGTGGGGCTTGGTCTTCGCCGGCTGCAGAGGATTACCCAATCCCGAGCGCCTTTGGTGTCTGTTCTGTCTCCTCCTATAAAAAATTCAAATCTCATAAACATGACTGCCCCTGCGAAACATGCGTTCCTCGTTTTTGCACTTTCTTATGCCGTTCCTTGGGAATACCTTGTGATGACTTGAGCTATAGTGTTTGCAGGGATAGGAGTAACTACTTGAAGAAATACGTTCTGAACGATATTCCTTCCTGCTCAGATCTCCTCACTTCAGACAACCTCTTAGCGCTCTCATCACTCGGCTACAACATGAGCAGACTTCAGATTCCTTCTTTTGGCAGGAGGAAGAATACTCCCCCAGCCACTCCTGCTGCTGGGGCGACCTCCTCTCCAGCGTCAGCTTCTTCCTCAGCCACCATATCTGACACTGTCCCGAGCGCAGTGGCTATTAACCCTGTTGCCAGCGCCCCTGCTGCCAACCAGAACGCGTCCCCCCCAGCTACCATAGCTCCTGCTGCTGCGGGGGGCGGTCGGGACAAAGAACGAGGCAAAAGGCCTCATCCTGATAGTGAAGTCGATCCTGAGGAGGAGCCTCTCATTAGAAGGATCCGGGTATCCGGGCCGGGTGCTCTCTTGCACCGAGCGGTCAGAGCTCCTGCTCCCTCTGGGCCTGCTGCAGCTGGTGGCTCTGCTTCTGCTTCAGGCCCCTCTTCTATCCCCTCCTTACCGCCAAGGGTCCCTCGGTACACCCGAACGGATGGGACGTTCGTGAAACCGAACGAGACCATGCTGAAGGATGGCCAGACCGCTATGGCCTACTACAGGAGCATGTGGACTCCGAAGGACCTTGAGGCGGCAAAGGGCCTTTCCCAGAAGGATGTGTTCAGCCGCTTTCCCCAATCTGCTATGGAGGTAACTTTTATTTTCTAACTCATGCATTCTCTCATATTATTTGGTCTTGCCTTCGCCCGACCTGACTATTGGCTTAACCGTTTTTAATGTGCACCCATGCAGACATTGTTCGGAATGATGGCCATGCAGAAGCAGGTGGAGATGGGGAACGCCAGGGCCCGTAAGTTTTCTGACAGCCTGGAGGTGGCTAATAAAGAAAACGACCTCCTCGCCATGAAGATTACCGAGGTACTGGCTCGGCTTGACAAAACCGAGCAGGAGAGAGATGTCCTGAAGAAGGAGAATGATTCCCTTCAGGATGAGAAGGACGCCCTCCAGCTTGAGAAGAGCGTCTGGCAGACTGAGCGGGAATCAATTAGAGAAGAGAAGGCAGAACTCCAGCGCCTTCTAGCTGATGAACAGTCTGCTCGGATGGCCTTTGAAAGAAGAGCTCTGGACGAGCGTACCGCTCTGATCGACGCGATCAGCAGAGTGGGTGGTGGGATGCTGGCCCTTCACGCTCGGTTCTCAAGGGTCGGTGCTCTTAGGTATGCTCAAGGATTCCGGGAAGGTTTCGCCGACCGGGTTCCGGATGAGGGACAGACCAGCTCCACTCCGGATGAGGTAGACAAGGATCTGGGGATCAAACCTCTGGGGGTCTATGTCGACCCAGAACCCACCGAAGCGGAGCGTATATTTGACGAGTGCCAGGACATTGCTTCCTCCAGGATCATCACAGCTCCTCCTACCGCTCTGCCACTGACCGCTCCTCAATCGTCAACCGTGGTTCCTTCCATAGCCACTGCTGACGCTGAACCCCAGCCGAACGATTCAGTCATTCACCTTGATTCCCCACCTCATGAAGGTGAGACGGCTGATGGGGCCGAGGAAGCGAGTCGGCACGACCAGGATGCTGTTGGTACTGAGGCGTCTAGCTAGGGCTCCTTTGAATTCTTCCATTCCATATCTTTTTGTAATGATGGACATCTCTCTTTTGTAAACTCAATGCTCAATATTAATGAAATGACAGAACTCTTTTTCCCTATGTGTTGTGCTCTATTCAACTTATTTTCAATACATACATATCTCTTCTCTCTTTTTCTTTTATATTAGCTTTGCCGTGTGTTTGTTTATGGCAAGTGCCTGGCGCTCGGCTAGGATGTCACTTGCCACTTGGCTTTAAGTTTTTAGCAAGTGTCTGGCGTTCGGCTTATAGTGCCAGCTGCCACTTATCTTACTTAAGTGCCTGGCGCTCGGCTAGAATGCCACTTGCCACTTGGCTTTAAGTTTTTAGCAAGTGTCTGGCGTTCGGCTTATAGTGCCAGCTGCCACTTATCTTGCTTAAGTGCCTGGCGCTCGGCTAGAATGCCACTTGCCACTTGGCTTTAAGTTTTTAGCAAGTGTCTGGCGTTCGGCTTATAGTGCCAGCTGCCACTTATCTTGCTTAAGTGCCTGGCGCTCGGTTAGAATGCCACTTGCCACTTGGCTTTAAGTTTTTAGCAAGTGTCTGGCGTTCGGCTTATAGTGCCAGCTGCCACTTATCTTGCTTAAGTGCCTGGCGCTCGGCTAGAATGTCACTTGCCACTTGGCTTTAAGTTTTTAGCAAGTGTCTGGCGTTCGGCTTATAGTGCCAGCTGCCACTTATCTTGCTTAAGTGCCTGGCGCTCGGCTAAAATGCCACTTGCCACTTGGCTTTAAGTTTTTATAGTAAACCGTTGGAAAAGAAAATTCTTTTTTTTTGTAAATTTCAGTAACTTGCTCATTCATATGTATTTGATTGACAACAAACAACATCCAATTGAAGCCGGAACTTAGCTTTTATTGGTAGTACCTCTTCAGAGACGTGGCGTTTCAGGGCTTGCTGACCAACCTTCCCGCCATGGTTTCCAACGTATATGCCCCCTTGCCAATAACTTCTGCAATTCTGTATGGGCCTTCCCAGGGTGGCATCATTTTTTTGACCATCCCCACCTTTCTTTTCAGAACCAGATCGCCAGGGGCAAAATCCCTGTGTTTTACTCTCTTGTTGTGACTATTCGCCAGCACTTGCTGATACGATGCTAGCCTTATAGCCGCTGCGTCCCTCCTTTCGTCTATCATATCGAGGTTCAATCTTAACATCTTGTCGTTCTGATCTCGACTTCATGCTAAGCTTCTGATAGTGGGGACTAAATGCTCAACCGGTATAACTGCCTCGGTACCATACGCCATTGCGAACGGGCTCTCTCCAGTCGGCCGCCTTGGGGTGGTTCTGTAAGCCCATAGAACGTTCGGGAGTTCATCCAACCACTTCCCCTTATGATCTTCCAGCTTCTTCTTAATGCAGGCGAAAATGGTTCTGTTTGTGATTTCTGCTTGTCCGTTGGCCTGAGGATGACTTACTGCAGCCAACTTCTGGTTGATTCCATACTCCTCCAGTAGCTTTCTTACTTGCCCGCTGTCGAGGTTTGTGCCATTGTCCATGACTATTGATCTGGGAACACCGAAACGGCAGATAATATTGTTCTAAATAAACCGTCTCACATGAGTCTGAGTCACGCTAGGATACGGTTCTGCCTCCACCCATTTGGTGAAGTAATCCGTGGCCAGTAACACATACTTGTTCTGAGCTCTTGCAGTTGGCAGGGGACCGACCACATCCATCCCCCATTGCGCGAAAGGCCATGGCGAGGCCATTACGTGCAATTCCTCAGGTGGTTGGTGGATCAATGGTCCATATCGTTGGCATTTATCGCACCTTCGAGAGAACTCCTCCGCAT